TGCCTGTATATATATGCATGGTGGGCCCTCAAGAAAGTCAGAGTTACCTTAGCGGTTATGACAATCTAAGGAAAACTATAATTTTCTTGGAGATAAAAGGCAGCTAAGAAAATAATGATTACCTTGGCCGTCTGTAACGATTTCTTGGAGGTTGCTTGCCCTCGAGAAAACAAATTTACTTGGCGGTTGAAATATTTTCTTATCGCTTTGGTAAATTAGGTGTAGTTCTAGTTTCCTCGGCAGTCAGCCTTCAAGAAAATTATCCTTGTGTCAAAGCTGGCAAGGAAATAAATTTTCCTTATCCTCTATCCTTGACAGATAATAACCAAGGATTATTTTATTGACAATTTTAGCATTTTCCCTGCCAATTTTTGGCACTCAAAATAATTCAGGATTCTGATAGTGTACTCGGCATGGCGACCTTGCCACGACTGCCATGACAACACGAACGACCTATGCGTGTGCGTGCTGCGACCATGGCTGCCGTGCTGTGAGAGATACGAAGAGAGATGTATTAGATGGGATGCATGCACAATTGCACGTGAAGAGATAAGGGGAGAGAAGAGAGTGACGTAGAGAAATATATACATTTAACACATCTTAGCTCACATATTTGTTCCACTGATTATGTTATCATTTCAAGTCTGCAGTCACTAAAATAAATATGGCATTGAGTCCTTATTCGCTACAGGAGGTGGCGACAGTAGCCATAGGGCATCCTTGGACTCTTCAAGGTCGGTGGGCCGAGTGTGGCGCGTCGTGCCATTTGAGACCCAAATTCCATTTGAAGATGCTCATGGTCATGGAAAGTTCTACTGCACTACTTCAACAGTATTTTTCAACGAACGAACAGTATTTTTCTCTCATAATGTTTCAGGTATAAGCTAAATTTAAGTGAAACGAACAGGGCCAGAGAAAGAATTATAGTCCTGTTTGATCAACATAAGCATCAGCATTAACATTTCTGTCTGCCTTGTGTGATGGCCGACATGGCCTCCCATCCCACCCCAACTTCAGAGGTAGAATTGTAGAGTCCTGTTTGCTAAGGGAACGAGCTACCACCCTCTATTCTATATTATAGACCATCCCGATTTTTCAGGTACATAGTTTTTGTTATGCATCAAAATATATGATATGTCTAAATGCATAATAAATTTGTGTATTTAGAAAAGCTAAAATGACTTATAAATTAGAACGGATGGAATATTATTTTAAAAGTCAAAGTCACAACTCACGACCTGCACACTTGACAACACTGTTCTTGTACATGTCATCGCCTTGTCGTGCAAGAATTAACCAGAGTGCTAACGTCTCCAACAGTAATGTCAAAGTCAAAAGACGAACGGAAGTTCCAAATTATTCTGGAAAAAAATATGTACCCGTCGACCGTCGATGGTGGAAAAAGGAGTGCCTGCTCTCCTATGCTGGAGCGAACTGGAGTACTGGACGTTTTTTATTTCACACAAGTCTGTGCTTTGAAAAGTGTCTTTAATTTTGTAGCACTACTTACTAGATTATTAGATTATATGCAATAATTTGTCTCCTCTGACCGAGGGCATGCATTGTTGCGTGCTATAAGCTCATTGTTGACGTTCACACGCTGCTGAATTGCGGGTTGCTTTAGGTTGTACGTCTTTCACTTCGGAACCATCTAGCCAACAACTGTTGTTTTAGTCTCTCTCAACAACTAGATTTTTTCATACATTTATATTGTCTTATAGCTATATTTACACCGCCTTATTACTATATTTACAATGATTTTTCAGTATAATTTATTAGACAAAATAATGTAATTTGGGAATAACACAAATATATGCCAAAATTTTCAAAAGAAAATTATAAATTATTTTTATGGATTTCAAACATCAGATAAAATATATGTTAAACTGTTCACAAATTCTTCAGATATTAAAAAAAAAATCCAGGCAGTGACAGGAGCAGCGGCAGCAGCAGGCGCGCAATGGACCCGTGCCCGTTCGTGCGGGTGTACGGTGTACGCCAGCCGGAAGGGGAGTACCTGCGGCATCAGCTCCGGGCGGCTGTTTGGGAAGGCTACGATCAATTTTGTTGTTTTGCTTGGGCCTAGTACGTGTACGTGTGCAAACGCGAGGCGGCACGAGAGCACGACGTTTGTGCAGCGGCAACCACGGAGAGCCACGCGCCGACCGCGGACGGCGACGAGTGCGCCGGTTCCACTCGCTCGACCTCAAGGACTCCAGGGCGGCGGCATGTATGCGGGAGGCCGTAGATTCCACCGTCGATTAAGCATCAAACGTCCCAGAAACCGGTTGTTTTGAAGCTCCAAAACAACCGGGTAATGTATAGCAATTCTGTTTACTTCTCATCTTTATTTGGCCGTGTAGCAACCGTGGCTTGCGTTCTGTAATCGTTTTACTATCCACTTAATGAAAAACAGGCTCAGTTGAGCGAGGTTACGAAAATCTTTATTTGGGAAAAAAAGGTTTTGAACTAGCTACGAGTATGCAATGAACTTTATCACGGGCTACCGGAGCCGACCCGGAGCAGATCCGATCTTCTTACCAATACGAAAACCAGAACTGATATAGGAAAATTGGACCCTCCTATACTTGCTTCACCTGATGGATGGACTAGTGGGCGTGGGCTAAAAATCTTGCCCGATGTTGGGACAGAGACATTACAGACTGGGACTGGACCAGCCAATAATCACGTTTTCTTTGGCTCGATCAAAACCTGATCTAACCTAACTTGGCGCTTGAACAGGCCTAAATTCATCGGTAATGCTGCCGGATGGACCCGTATAAATCGTCCGCGTTGCCTGCTCGCTGCATGCCTCTGCTCTGGGGCGGAACCCGCCCTCGGTCCTTGGTCGCGCGACCTCCGCTTGCGAGGCGCGGCCTCGCCCGCATCCTGGCCCGCTACCCACCCGCGCCGCGTGCCTTGCCCCTGCCCTTGCCGAGGTCCATGCCGCCGACGAGCTCCACACCGGCAACCTTCGTGTCATTCCGCGGCATCGAGCTCCGCGTCGACAAGTCCCCATTCGTCCAAGTAGCAAGCAGATGCTACGCTGAAAGCGCATGTTACAATAGTATGTTTTAAGTGATTCAGATGTTTCAGAGGTATGTTGCAAAAGTTGTATATCGATGTTGCAAAGGTAAATCGGGATGTTGCACATGTTGTAATGGTTATACACGTATGTTTTAAGTGTATGTTTCAAATGTTTTATCTGTTCCAGAAGAATGATGCAAATGTTTTATCTGGATGTTGCATATACATGCATGTTGTAAGCATAAGTTTCAAGTGTTTTCAGTTGTTTCATACTATGTTTGCGAGTGTTTTATCTGGATGTTACATATGTTTGCAATGGTTTTCAAATATTTTTCAGATGTTTTCGCAAGTATTTTAGATGCTTGTTTTAAGTTTTTCATTTGTATTCTTTTATATATTGCAACTGTTGCATCTGAATATATTAAAAATAGATCGGATGTTGCACATGGGATAAGCATGGGCGATGTCAGGGGCGACAGGGACCTACTGCTGGTGTGCTCCCTTGTGAGCCCGACACGCTATGCGCTCATTTGCTCCTCCGCGCGGCAGCGTCCAGACGAGGCAGCCCGGATCGTCATGCCAGCGCGCCAGTTCGGTGGCCTCTGGTTGCAATTCTGACGTTGAGTGGTATAGACGAATCGAACTCGCCTCCTCTCTACATCATGCTTTTTTTTTGTGTGTGGGTAAGTCACAGGAGTCCTTGCCGAGTTGTCGGTCTCTGTCTGCCGATGGAAATGAAACGATCTGCGTGGCAACCTTGGAGGCGAAAGCAACTACGCCTCCTCGCATTGGGAGCAATTTTCAGGGTACAGACAAGGTACGTGTGCACACGGACGGCGACATGCATGGGGAACAGCAGTTTTGACAAACTAACACAGTAGGGAATAAAGATGTCAAAACCCGCATGCCGCTTTATTTGGCTACATACTAGTCGCGTCCAATGCAACAAAAGGATTTGCAGATAACTCGATCGGATGTCAACATGGCACAACGGGCGGCTAGTGATCGATGGACTGATGGCTGAGTCTGACTGACAACAACAAGGCACTTTCGTCGTCTTTACTTTAGAGCAAACAAAATTTCTCCGCGACAACAAGCTAGGCAACAACGGTATGGAAAACTCAACTGCAGACTTGGTTTTCTCCTCATCGGGCACGTCATCTGTTTGATCATTCCAATTTCCAAAAGGAGCGAGGCGATTATATATATATAAGTAGAGTAGACTGACCGTTGCTTTGCCTGCACGCTCGCTCCGTTTACTTGGCTTATAAGCCGTATTTTTTCAGCCAACGAACAATATTTTTCTCTCACAACAAATCAGTCAACAGTACTTTCAGTCATGGCTTATCAGTTAAGTGAACAGGGCAATTAGCTTTAATATTGCCGTATTGCTGTAGCTTATTATGTGTTTCTAACCTAACGAGGTGTCGCTAGCAAGAGATCGTGTACTAGATCATGCATGGGTACACAAGTATGTATATGCTAGGATCTACGCGTATAGTCTCAGTATTTTTATTTTTATTTTTATTTTTGCACAAGAGATTGTACATCTGGTCTCGCTTACAGTAGCTAACTCCGTTGAAGATGAATTATTAGGAGAACAGTTCTTTTGCTACTACTGCAAAACCCAGCTTACTATAGTGTAGCAGTGTGTTACAGCCTTACAGTTTACAGGTCATCAAAGGAGACTCTTGCTGATGGTTGTTCTTTCAAGATAGCACAACACCTAGATGGCCTGCATGCTTGCTACAAGCCTACTACTAGAACATACAGTAGTTTATTTCTACTTCTTCAAGGCATAACTCTTGCACCACTCAACAACAAAGATTCTCACAGGTTGCTTGACAGCCATGACGGCAGGCACCCTGCAATTAACATTTGGAGGAAGAAAAGAATATAAGAAATCAGATTTATCCAAATTTTGTTTTTTTAAAAAGATTTATCCAAATTAATGCCGTGAAAATTGCGGAGTTTCAGATCGCAAGAGTTTGCTCACATGACACCGGGAAGCTGAAGCAGAGGCCCGGCGGCTTGCTGCCGGCAGCCGGCAGCTGCTGCTGCTGGTCGTGCTCGGCGACGAGGATGTAGAAGAGGCCCATGACGCCCGTGTGCCGCCGCTCGCTGCTGTACCTGGACACCACGGTGAGAGCCTCGCCGTCGCGCACCTTCACGTCGCCCAGCCTCGGGTAGCACGTGGACATGCCGACGATGTACCCCGCCTCGTTCCCGGCCTCCCGCCCGTCGCCGTAGGTCGCGGTCGACTCGCACAGCAGGCGCCCGTCGTCGCCGTGCAGGGACGCGCCGATGCCGCCCGAGTGCTGGTGCGCCACGCCGAACACGACGTCGCCGCCCCGCGGCAGCACCTGCGTGGCCGTCTGCACGTGCACGCACTCGCCGCCGCCGTCGTTCCCGGCGCCGGCGCACTCCTCCACCTGGTACTCCACCTTGCATGCGGCGACATCGAAGATGTAGATCTTCACGGGCAGCACCGCCGCGTCGCTCCAGTCCTGCCACATCACGGTGTAGCGCAGGAACACCTTCCTGGCCTCCTCGCCGTTGACGAACCCTGCTCCCTCCTCCACCGCGCACCGCGTCTCGTCGTAGCAGCAGCGCAGGCCGCCGGCGTAGCCGTCCTCGATGCCGCGGCCGTGCTGGTCCACCGTGACGTTGTACAGGTCGCAGCGGCACTCGGTGCACGCCAGCTTGTCGACCGCGCCCCGCGTGTCGATGGCGTGCACGTTGAGCATCCACCGCTCCTCGTACCCTTCCGGCGCCGCGGACGGGTCGCCGATCTCGATGCCGTACGGGTCGGGCACCCACGTTGCGGTGCGCCGGGTCTCGGACCCGAGCCCGTAGTACTGCCCCAGCGTGTGGTTGCACACGCCGGAGTTCCGCGCCGGGATCATCCTTGGGCGGCCCTCCGCCGCGGCGGCGGCGCCGTCCTTCGCGGCGTAGTAGGGCTCCACGACCCAGTGGTGGAGGTACGTCTCGTGGAGAGGTACCGGCACGCCACGCTCGTCGACGACCTCGCCGTTGAAGCTCTTGAGCGCCAGGTGGCCTCTCGGGAAGGCGATGTCCAAGTAGTACTTGTCGGCGACGTCGCCCGGGCGCAGGAAGATGGGCGGGGACAGGAAGGTCTTGGTCTTGACCAGGCGGCCTTTCACGTTCAGCGCATCAGCTGATGGGAGAGGGCCGGTTGCACAGAGGAGTACGATGAGCAGCAGCACGAGGAAGAGGGAGGTATTCATCTTGTCACCACTGTATTGTACCACCTACAGATTGATGGTACCGTATATGTATTATCATCAGTGATTAATTAAAAAAAAGTTAGGCTAAAAGTATCGAACGAACAAGATTAGTAGGCAAATTAAAAATGGATAAGAACAGGCAGATGGCTCAAGAACTAATTGCTTTGTTATGTTGGATCAGAAGAGAATTTTACTTTATTTGTAGCTGAAAGCAACTGCTATATATAGGTCACTGAACTTAATTTCTGAGTATATACAGTTTGTAAATTTTATTGTCTACTAATGCCCTCTGTTTAAAATTTAACTGTAAGCTGCACCCTTTCTCTTACAAGACTAGTTAATAGATAGGTCTGAAACAGGAAGGGGGCGAAAAACTTAGGCCCTGCGTGGATTCATTATTTGCTAATAGATAGTTATTAGCCAGCTAACAATTATTAGCAGGTTTCTGATATTTCTCCACTTATTAGCGGTTATTGCCTGATTTGGTCTAACTAGACATCCAACTAATAATTAGCTAGTCTATTATGTGTATTTGGTTGGATCCAAAAGAGCTAATTGTTAGCAGACAACCCTACAGGATCCAAACAAGGCCTTATAATGAGGTCATGGACACTCAACTACTATCTACTATTGATTATTATATTTTGCTCTGAATCAAGAAAGAGATTTCCTGGCATTTGAACTGAACAAATACAGCAAAACCAGTACGGAGTAGAGTACTCCTTAAAAGTGCCGTTTTTTACTTTTAGACTTCTTATTTGACCATTCGTCTTATTTAAAAATTTTATGTAAATAATAAAATAAATAAATTATTATTAAAATATATTTAATGATAAAATAAGTCATAGTAAAATAAATAATATTTATATAAAATTTTTGAATAAGACGAACGGTCAAATAAGAAGTCTAAAAGCAAAAAAAAAAATGACATTTTCAGTGGAACGGAAGGAGCTGAGGACAACAAGGCGCAGCAACTTTTGGTATACAGTAACAAACACATGTGACTAGACGATCCAATCCAATCCGACCATAAAAAAGAACTTAGGAACAATGCCTGACGATTCCCTCTATCTGTGCCATTTTTTTAGGAAAAAAAAGACAAACAGGTTGATCATGCGTCATGGCAGCTTGATATTTTTAGAAAACAAAGAAAGTCTTGGGAAAGTGGTAAATCTGTGCTAGTCGATATATATATTAGGAAATGGTAGTAGTATATACTACGGAGTACGTAGTAAGCACGAGCGAGAAAGAAAACAAACAGCTAGTAAACGGAGCAAGCAAGCACACAATACAACTCACATCCTGGCACAGCTGTATGTATGGCATTTCTTTGTACTTGTTCAGTTGCTCTTGTTTTCATCGTCTAGACGTAGATGCATATATATAAAAATGTCGGCCATTTAAACCTTATATAGCCTTATATAGTTATAGTTATGTCGTCTAAAGCAGGCTAGGATGTATATATATATATATATATTTTTTGAACTAAAATATATACTGTGAGAAGAAAGGAGAACCCCCCTAAAAAAAAAAGTGCAATTCTCGCTTTTTAATTTGTGAACCAATCGGGCGCAAACGGGCTGTATATATATGCACTGTAGGTAGCATATCAGAGGAATCAAGTAGTACTAGTACACAAAATACATCTTGGGAAGCAAAGCAAGGTATTTAGGCGAATCGTAAGAAACGAATTAATTCATATGGAGGAGGAGGCATGCATGCATGGGAGAGGGGAAGAGCGGGGGATGGAATGGAACCGGGCTATAGTAGCCTATAGCAGAAGCAGAGCGGGCTAGGGATGGATCTGAGGAAGAAGACGAGACGACGTACCTAGCTGCGGGCTGCTAGTTCCTGCGCTGCGCCGAAGAGGAGAAGCTGCGTCACGGACGGGACGGAATTGGATGGATAGCCGCCTCCCGGCCCTGCTCGCGGCGCCGCCTGCCCGTTTGTGTTATTTATAAATATAAAGGAGGAGGAGGATGGTGCTGACGACAGTGCTGACGTTTGCTGGGCCGATCGAGAGGGCCTCGTTCGTGGTCGTGATGAACGCGGCATCGCATTCGCATCGGAGCAGTGTACGTCGAGTCCACACACGGACGATGTGGTGGGTCCCTGATCGATGTCGACACGTTGTTATTCGGGTTGATTTCCTCTTTGGCTAGGCTACGCTCCTCTCCTCGCTCGTGCAAATAAATAAATTAACGTGCGCGTGCATGCTTCCTGTTCCTGCTCAGTGCGTGCTCCTAGTCACAAGTCACTACAGACAATAATAGATAAATAAATATAATAACGGACGCAGAACGAGGCAAGCAAGGCTAAGCAGCGGCGTCGGAGTTGAGTTCACACGTACGGCCGGCCGGCCTTGCTTACCTCGTAGTTAGTGAACAGTATTTTTTTCTTACAAAAAACTAGCACTAGCCAGTTCAAATTAGCACCAACATCAATCAGCGAACAAGCTGTCGTCGACACGTACATTATCCAGGCTTTCTCTTGGGCTACCTTATCCCGTTTGGCAGGGCTCCGGCTCCTGCATCGGCCTCGCAAGGATCTACCGGGCTACTGTTCATCGGAGCCGTTTTTATCTTATCTCCTTTCCTTTCTCACCGACACTGCCGGGCCGGAGAAGCTCGTTTTTGGTTGCGCGGCTGATGGCACCTATCGGCCCGTGGGCGGCCGACAGGCAGGCGCCGGAGCCCGCGCAAACCCTACCAAACGGGACCTTTTCTTCTTTTCTTCTTCATCTTCGTACAAGTACAAGGGCCCGCCGGCTGGTGAAGCAGCAGGTCGATCGATGATGGCGGTTGCGCAGACGACGGATTTCCTTTCGGAGCCTGACGATGATGGTATGAATGGAACCGTACTACGTACGCAAGGGACGGGGCGGGGAGGTGGTGTCGCCGTGTGGGTGCGGTGCTGTGCTCTTACGACTTACGTGCGCGCGGCTTACAAACCTGACGAGCACGTTTCAGGTTTGGAATTTTCACAGATTTTAGTGATGAGCAGAAATGTGCTTTCGGATTACAAATGCTGTTTTTTTTGCCGGAAGAAAATACCGGTATTAATTTAGAGTTGAATAGTAGTATCTGCTGTGTCAATTGATTAGATGCATGGGTTAGCATCTAGTCTAGTGGAAACCTTCCACCTCCATGTTCTACTACTAGTAGCAGTTAGCAGTTGCCGGGATTCGATTCGATGTCATTCTGTTTTTTAAACACCATAAAAACAATTTTCAAATTTTCTTTTAACTGAAATTTGTGTCCAACTACATTCTCTAATTTTAGTCACGACCGGTAAAAACATGCAGAGGCCGAAATTTGAAACCCTGCCACATTCTTTAGCGCATGTCGCCTCGACCGTGATGTTTATTTGTAGCGTGTGTGATTGTAACTCTAACTTGTAAATTTCATTCCGGAGGCCGTTCCGTTTTGGCTATTGGAACGAAACATTCGGTACCGGGCCATACCGTGTAGTGTTTCAACTTTATAATAATAATAATAATACGTGAATAAACTTATACATAACTGTGCATATAAACATATATCGACTTAACTTATGGCGTAATTACCATTTTTACCAAACTAACATATCATTCAACAAGTCCATAAGACCTTATAAAAAAGTTCAAACTCCAAAGTTCATACATGGAAAAATAAAAATACATGCAGCCACACCCGGTATTGCCCGGTATTTGACCGACCGGTATTGACTGGTATTAGCAGTACGGGATTGCGGCTCTTCTATATCGTTCTAGGTGCGGGTACCAGGCAGGCCGGAATGGAATTTACAACTATACTGTAACTAGCTAGTATGCGTCCAAGACTCCCAAGTGGCAGTGTGGTAATACCATGCTATGCTACGGCCGGTGTCTCTTGCTAATTGCAGCCTCCGGCAAATAGCAGGCCTCCCACAGATATATATTATACTTTCACAACAAAAGCAAAAAAGTTGATGTATGCTAAAAAAAATGTTGATGCACGCATCAACGCGATATATATATAACAAGCTGTTCGGCTTATGATTTTTATGACCGATAAGTCAGCTGATGTTGTTTTATTGTGAGAGAGAAATACTGTACAGTCAGGCTTTATTTATTTTTGCCTAATAAGTCGGGCTAAGTTGAAGCGAACAGATGAGTCTGAAAGCAGCACGTACGGCTGCTTGAGTTGATTCGCTAATGAGAGCATATACGGGAGGGAGGAGACGGAAGACGATGTGGGTCCTGATGTCCACACGTTATCCAGATGGAATACATTGTTGTTTCTAAAGTTTATGAGTAATGAAATAATTTACTCATAATACAAATCATTCTTTCGACCTTCGATCACCTAAAATACAGTCAGGCAAAAATGGATCGCTCAAATAGAACATCTCGGGAAACTGAAGATTCCAGTTGATAAATAACTAAAAAATATATATAGAGAGAAGATCTAAATAAATTCAAAATTAGTTCAGAGTTCTCAGTACAAATTTGTTTATTAACTTTTATTATTTCCTAAAAATAATCGAATCCGTCGATATAAGTGTGGGCAAAAATCCTTGGCTCCGATGAAACGCACGGGCATATAAGAGTGAAGTGTTTCTTTCGTCTTGTTGTTTTTATTTCTTATAAGCTGCACTCACGCCCTCCGTGTGTCTCGTATATGACCCAGACTACATAGTTCGATTTCAAGACGTATCCGGTTCTGTGCAACTTACGAGCAAGTTTGCCAAAAAGGGCTCGATGGCCAGGGAAGTAGATAAATGATAGTTGGGCATAGGAGGCTTTCGGAGAAGAAAATTTCCTATTTGACTCTAGAAAACCTTTTGCTTTCATATTTGACACGTAAACTTAAAATCTTTCAAATCTGTCAATCCTTTCATTTTTTTCTTTTTCATTTGACGCTTCCGTTACTTTAAAGCTATAACAGATGAAAGACTATTTTGCCCCTGATGTTCCTTTTTGCTGGTTGTTCCTGCTTTTTTTTTGTATTTTTATTTTCAAAGTGTTATGTTTTCGTTTT